GGGTTTGACATGTGTCTGACTTAAGGTAGACTTTATTAACAATGTAACATGAAGTGTTCATAGCCTTGACCCAAAATCTCTCAGGCAATCTCTTACTATAAATCATGACACGTGTCATTTCTATAATGACTTTGTTATTTCTCTCTATAGTGTTATTTTTGTTGTGGGGCATTGGGTGCTGAAAACTCATGGTTGGTGCCTTGTTTATCATAGTAAGCACAAAAGTCAGAATTATCAAATTCCCTACCGTGATCACTTTGGATTCTAGTAACTCTATCTATGGCTTCACCTCATTCATTTTGAGCTTTATTGTAACTATTTCTAAAGCTAGCAAAAGCCTTAGACTTTTCTCTCAAAAATACAACCCAAGTGCACCTAAAATAATCATCTACCATTATTAAGATATATACCTCTTATGCTCTCAATCTATGTAGGACCCATGAGATCCATGTGAATGAGCTTTAGGGGTCTCTTAGTTATAATGATCTTCAATTTTTTGTGAGGGACTTGAGTTTGTTTCCCTAATTAACATGGACCCCACACTTTGGTAGAAGACTTACTCAACTTAAGTACTCCCCCCCCCCCCCCCCCCCACAAGCTTATTGCTTGTGATTTAGTTCAGGTCCTTATAGTTCATGTGACTTAACCTCTAGTGTCATAGTGTGACTTCGTCAACACTTTTCCTATGACACACTAGTGAAGGGCTTAAACTATCTCCTAACCTGACCCTTTCCAAAAGGCAATCCATTTTATCAGTTAATATAATGCATCTGTCTCTGGTGAAGTGTACAACATTGCCATTAGGACACAATTGGATGATACTAATAAGGTTAGCTTTTAACCCTTACACATAGATGACATTATCCAACTTTGGCATGCCCAATAGTTGAATGGAACCCTTACCAACAACCTTAGAGATACTAACATCTCCAAATGTAACAATCCCATCATTACACTTTTTCATTACATAAAAGTGGGACTTCTCTCTAGTCATGTGCCTAGAACAATAACTATAAAAGTACCATTTATTGCCCACTAGGGCTTTCAATTCAGTGTGAACTACAAAACACAGCTCATGATTCGATGATATAGCCATTCTGAACTAGGTATGTAAGCAACAATCAAATATGCCGACAAATGTCTACATACAACTCAGGGCAACATCGCTCCAATACCATTGTTGTTTTGGAAGGGGGAGAAATAAAGTGGGTCTTCCCTTACGATTATATATATGGAATGCACAACATTTTCAAGTGGGGGTGAATAGTTTTTTCAATTTCAGCACAATTAATTACCAATTAAAACCTAATCTACCACAATTACCTCTTCTCACTCGAATTTAATAATGAATAATGAAAACCCCTTTAATCACTAGACACCAACAAATCCATGATGATTTATGTTAATTAATTGTTCAATTAAATTTCTCAAACAATCAATCCCACGATGATCCAAAAACCAAAAACCCTAATGCTACTATAGATAAAAATATGTGAATCAATCATTCATACAAATACATAGTGTGCATGTGTACAAACAATCACAAGTTTATAAGCATAAGTAATGAATAACACAAGTAATTTGTTGACCTGAAAAACCCTCAACGAGAAAAATCGTAGAAAACCATTCAGGGTTCACCAAAACATAATCCACTACTCACAAAGTCAATTTACAAGTACTCGAGTCTTATACCTCAACCAATATCATGATTAGATGTTCCTTTCCTTTTTAGATCTCTTCACTGAAATTATTTCTCCAACATCTTGCGTAACTTCACTTGCGCAACTTCTTTTGTAGATCTCTTCATGTCTCGAGCAATCATGGGCACACCAATGATTCTCAATATCCACAAACAAATGGATTTATCAAACCATCACGATCTTCAACTTTAAGTTGTGAGGTTGTGTAGAATCTCTAGTGGTAGACTTGGGTTTCAGGGATCTAGGGTTGTAATGGAAGCTTTATAGGCTAAATATGAGTCTTCTCAGTCAAAAGGCTTACAAGAGACTTGCCCTAGCTGAAGAAAAGACTTACCCTATTTATAGGTCTAGAATGAGGGTAATCTTAGTCAACAAAGAAATTTAGATTCATGAACGATCACTCAATCTATTGGAAGGCAGTTGTCACTGAAATGAAAATCACATTTCAAACCTAATTGAGAAGCATAGACCACTCGAGCGATGGTCAAGGCCACTTGAGTGAGCCCATAGAACGAGCCCTATACTCCACCGTGTGATCTCTTCTTCTTTTCTTCCCTCGGTAATAAATAGATTGCTTTAGCAAAGGTTAGTAAGCATAGGGTGGTCCTTACTAGTTTTTTAAAATCACCTAGGAGTCATACATGGATTAAGTCCCTAAATTCATTTTAAATCTAATCCTCCTAAGTTAAATAAACCAAGTGATCATCTTAGGTATCTTGGTCATTACCATGGTCCTAAGTTTGAAGGTGCAATCGAAGGGTGAATGATGTAACTTTGATGCTTGATCTTTTCCCCTTCAATGACGCTTTCAAATCTTAAAACTTTATAACATTAGCAAAAATTATGTGTATCGCACTACCAGTTTTAACCAATACCTTCTAATGTTGAGATTAGAAGATATTGCAGTGATGACCAGAGGATCATCATATGGAAAATGTATCCCTCTAAGGTCATTGTCAAAAAAGGTAATAGGTGAGATGACCTTCAGGATCTTTTCTGGATGGACCAAGATGATCTCCGTCATGTTTTTATTAGACTAATTTCATCATGTGTAAGCTTGATGGGTCGAGTTTGTTTCGCCACAGATAGAGAATCTTCTAGAGATTATTTTCTATTCTCTAGTAATTTGGCTCTCTGTTGTAGGGGTAAGGTGTGCTTTCATCTCTCCTATTTTTCCTATAAATTTCTCTAGATAGCCACTCTTTTTCAAATTTTCATTTTGATCTCTAAGGGGGATGCAATCATCTGTGTTGTGGTCGTGATCTCAGTGAAATTGGAAGTATTTATCTTTAGAGACCTCCTATGAGGTTGGTCCAAAGCATTGTTGTCCACTTTACGATGTGATCGTCCTGAACTTGACAGAAGATCTACTCTATGTGGTGTTCAAATGAGTGTATTTCTAAAACCTTTCAGTCGGGAAAGTGGGCCCTCTTGGTGCTCCGGGTTTTGTTGGAGGTTTTTCCTTGATCTCTTTTCTTTCTGTTGGTTGCGCGATCTTCTTCTGAGCTCCCACTAGTTCTAAAGGAATCCTCTGCATTTATATGACTTTGAGCTTTTGAAAGCAACTCGGCCATACTTGTAAGAGGTTCTTTGAATAGAGAGAACAGGAAACAGGATGGTTGAAAACACCCAAAAAGGAAATCAAATCTACCTTATCATCAACATTCTCTATTTGGAGGGATTCCTCTATAAAGTAAGTCACATAGTATCTAAGGCATTCTCATTTTCCCTAGTTAAGGTTCAATAGATAGGTGGTTGGCTTCATTTGGGTTCGACCTCCTATGAAATGGTATAGGAAATACTTACTCAGTTATGTGAAAGAGCCCATTGAAACAGTGTGGCGATTATTGAATCATAGGCGAACATTGTTTTTTAGAGTGGTGGGGAAAGCTCGACACATGATCTAGTATGGGACACTATGTCAAAGCATTAACAATTTACAGGTTTTCAAATAATCAAATGGATCCTTCATTTTGTCAAAGCTCTCTAAGTTTGGAATTGTTAACTTTGAATGGAGGGGATAATGTGTGACAATGGAAGTAAAAAGACATTCCAATCGTTGGGACTAGAGTTTCCAGTATTAATGGAACTCAAACCTTTACTGTATTGAGCATGTTCCCAATAGAGCAATGCTACATGTATTTAAAAAATAGACTTGATAATTACAACCATTGATTTCACTGTGGAGCTCAGCGTTTATTAGGACTCATTACCTATTCAATGGTTGAGATTATTAAGTCTAGTTTTTAAGTCCATCTAGTATTACTCGTTCCCAATAAGATCATTCACCTCCTTAAACTTTCGTTCTACAGCGTTTTCATCCTCTTGAGGATGGGAAACCTCATTCGGGTTGTGCTCGTCTTCTATTCCATGAGGTTGGTGGTTGCGATAGTTGCATCGACCGATGTGGGTGGACTGCCTATTGAGCAATGAACAACTGTAGGATCTGTTGATTTTGCTGCGCTAATCATTCCATTACTTGATTGATCCTATGGTGGTTCATGACAAATGGCTCTGGGTATATTCTTCCCAAAAACTCCTATTGATATGGTGGTGAATATTATGGAGCATCTGAAGGTGCTTTGAGTTGAGCCCTTTTAGACGAGTTGTTTTTCATCGCTAATTTTTCAATCATCAATGCTGATCAAAACCAAAAAGTGGTTGGTACCACTTGGTACTACATCTGCCAATGGATTTTATGTTAATTTAGATCTGATTTGATTTTGAATCTAGTTAGTCAGATATGAATTATTTTTTGATCGGTTATCCGAATCCATTATTTCATACTTCATGGACTTAGATTTGGACTCGCCATTATTTGTTTCATTAGGTTCCACCATATGTTAGCAAGACCATATAAACTTTCTATCTGATAAATTTAGCACCTGATTAACTCGATCGATATTGGTAAAATTTGGAAGATTAGCCGGATCCGTTCAGTATGTGGTCAGCACCGGATCGATATTGGTAATATTTTCTTAGTGATACCATTTGTTTTTCTTTATTTGCTTTCATTAATTGTTCACATTCTAAGAGTTGAACTAAGCGTGCATAACAGCTGGGACTCTTAAAGTTGCGGTTTAATATGGTGTATTGGGCCAGTAGGTTTAATTACACTAACATCAACACTAACTCCAACACCAACACCTTGGACCACGTCTCATTTCTTTACAAAAGTGAAAAGTATCGATTCAAGCTATATAAACTCTCTCTCTTGCATTTGAAGAGAAATCTAGCTCACTGGCTTGCAGCTCGAACTACAGTACAGGTATTGTAGTTATCTACCCTCAGCACAAAAGAATGATACCGTCTTCACTAGCATTGTTGTTCCTTCTATTGTTGCTGGCGAAAGAAACAAAATGTTCATTGCGACATCAGAAGCTACATGAATTCCGATCAAAACTTCAAGAGAAAAACTCCTTCAATGAGATTGCATTACCTCCAACACCATCTCCGGCACGTTCAAATACCCAAAAGGTGAGAGATTTTCATTTCTTTTATTCTTTTTAATGTTCTTCTGCGTCGTGTTTTCTATCTGTGTGCATGGTTAAATAGGCTTCGTTGGTGTACTTTTATGCTTCAGAGAAGTGGTAGAGTTCTCTATCCTATTGGATATGGAGCAGACCCAACGGGGGCGCAAGATAGCGGCGATGCCATAGTCAAGTCTGTGGGTGATGCTTTCAAAGTGCAAAATAGCCTTGAATTGTTGCCTGGAGTTCCTGATTTGGGTGGTGTCATCATTGATTTACAAGGTGGAAACTACAACATCAGCAATCCCATTAGGTTCCCAGCTGGTGCAGGCAATGTTTTGGTAACGCTCTTTCCCTCCTCTCTCCAAAATATTCAAACGAGGAAAATACATGTCATTATTGAAATTTATATTACCATTCCAGCAATGCTATAAGAGCATCTCCGATCAAGACTCAAATTTGAATCTAAATTTGAGTAAAAAGTTTGATTTGATACAAAAAGGTTCCAATGGACAAACTCAAATTTAAAGAAGAAGAAACCTAAATTTAAATGAGAGTAAATCTAAATTTAAAAGAGAATAAAGATGATCATTGGATCTTTAAAAGAGAGTAAAATCTCACAATTAAAGATTTGGGTAAGAATTTTAGTCTCCTTTGATTTGAATAAAAAAATGAGTCTCCCTTAATTTAGTATAAGCTAGAGTCAAAAGTTGAAATAAGTTTTTTAGGTTTTTTTATTCAAATTTAAATTTGAGTCTAAATTTAAGTCAAAGTTGAAAATATTCTAATTTCAGGACTTAATGATTTAGTTTTAATGCAATCATTGGATTATTGTGAATTCTAATGTTAAATAGAGAATACTACCGATCCAATTGTTGTACTGAATTAGGTCCTCAGATTATGTCAAAATAGCATTTTCCATATCATTATATAAACTAATGAGCTACCAAATAGTTTTAAGAATCTTGCTTAGTTCAATTTAACTTATGAATATGATGGTTATTAAAAGAGTAATGTTATTAAAATTTTAAAAAAAATTAATTTAATTTTTTGATTTAATGATGTAACATAACATAGTGAATGTCTCAATAACATTATTCTATTAGAATTAAGTAAATGTTATAATTAATGAGTGATATCATATACTAATAATGGCATTGTATCATCATTATATTCAATAATTACTCACTGTTTTTCCCCACTCGGAATCACATGGCACACGTTAGCACACTTTTTTGGCACTGGAATTGACTTGCTTTGTGTTTAATAGTTCAGTTTGCAGTTACAAATACGAAGTATTGTTTGGTGTGCTTTGAAGCTTTATCGTTCTTTAAGCTACCTTTTTTCCAAAACTATGACTGTGTCACGTGCTCCACGTTACACACGTGCTCCCTAGAATGCCATTAAGAATCTTAATCACTTGATATCTTTTGAGATTGATTAATAATATCTTTTGCGATAGATTAAAACCGTTGTAAATGGGTTTACTGTGACGGTTTCTTACTGTAACTAATAGTATTTTTTATGACAGATATTAACCATTTCAAACGGGATCTTTTGCGAGAGTCCCCAAGTGTGAATAATAATATCTTTTGAGACAAATTTAAATCATCACAAATGATTTTTTTTGCAAAGGAAAATTGTTGATACAAACAAAAAATGTCAGATCTAAGATTTTTTTGCGACGTCACATTTGTATCCGATTTTATCGATGCAAAAACTTTTGTGACTGTTAATTACGGGTGCAAAATCTTTTGCATCGCCTATTGTTTGTCACCCCCAATTTACCAACTCAAAAGATCACGTTGCCGTCACAAATAGTATTTGCGATAACAATGTGATCTTTTAAATCGGTAAATTACTGATACAAAAAATCTATTTTTTTGTAATAAGAGTGGTTCCATCTAATAGTATGTTTTTTAAGATAATTACAGATCTCTAAGGCAAGCAATACGTCCTCGGTAAGGATGGTAATCAAGTTTTGTCTTATTATTTTAAGTTTGTGTTGATACTAGTTGTACGTGGGAAAATTTTCGTACCTGATAAAAATGATGACGTGAAGATAAGTGTGTGATTTTAAAGAAAAATAAACAAAGTGTACCTACTTCCTCCCTTAGAACAAATTATCACGTACTTGGATCGACTATCCAAGAATGACTATCCAAGAAATATTCTGATACTTAAAGACAATAATAATTTGCAGTCGAACAACCAAATTGTATAGAAAAAAGTATGTACCTTAAGACCTAAGCTAGTAGGAGTAAGGTGTTACACCCCGAGCCTAGTCAAATCCTCATCGGTCTAGTTTTTGGTCCAATCATATTTTAATCTCATTGCTCGATATAGGTTAAATTTATAAAGATTTTGTCTTCTTGAAATCAATGGTTCAATCACTCCGAAATAGAATTAAAGTCTCATTCGAATTTTAGTCTTGCTCTAAGACCTCATTAGGCTCTGCTCGACACATACCCCTTGCTCGGAAATATTTTTTCACCGGACCACTTTCGATTAATCTATCTCTGCTCAGGCTTTCATTCAATTTGTTCGGCCAATTCGCATTCTATTCGGTGAGCATTCATGTGCTCAGTGATGGTGGAGTCAAAACCTTTTTAGCACGTGCTTTTTGTCACGTGTTCAGGTTTAATTGTCAAATAATTGTTTAATTAAAAATTCTGAACCCCTTCACCAGTAAATTTTAACATATACATTTTAAAAAATGCAACAAGGATCATAATATTAACTCGACTTATTTATCAGTTATGTGTTCGCGTTGAATATATAATTTATCAATTACAAACTCAAGACAAAGACACATTTTCCTCGCAATCAAATTTGCCATCTAGGGACCTCACAGACTAAAAATCTACTTGATTTATACGCTACCTAGATTAACTTTAAAAAAAATGAATCGAATTCTATAAGAATTCACATATACAATATCGAAATAGAAAAAAATAAATATTTTTATACAATTTCAATAAAAGGGGTTTATAGTGTAAAACTTAGGTTATATGCGGGTTGCTGAGTCATGTCATTTTCAAATTCGCATCAAAAACTAGTCAACCTAACTCGCTACGGAGCAAGAGGGGAGCAAAGGGCAGAAACGTACATATGCAATTGATATAATTTGAATGAGTGAGGCATACATACCCTAGTACTCCCAAGCATGCTTTTGAAACTATCTTAAAGTGAAAAAAAAATATCTTTAAAAAAAATTTAACCTGTTTTGGTTACATTTATCTCAAAAATAGAGTGAACAACCACTGATTAGTAGGCAGAAATTTGTGTAGACATAGAAATTAATTTTCCTTCTTGCTTTTGAAACAAAAGGTAGTATCTGATAGAGGAAACGTGTTTGATAATGACCAAATTAGGAACCACAGCCTAAGGGAATGATGTGGAAGTATATTTATTTTACCATGCATCTTCATACGATAGGCATGGATGTATCAATAAGATAATTATCCTACATAATATTGATAGAGAAAATGTTGGAAAAATGAATCCAACAGATAAAGTAAACGGTAGGATGAGGCATAGATTAAGTCGCCCTTTTAAGAAGATTCGCACCTCTTTGTAGAAGAAACACAATGCAGAAAGTAGAAACTTATTATTCTCAAGATGCAACAGCCCAGCTTAATTAACTGTAATTTCACTCAAATCTGCACAATCGGATAAAACAAAAACTTCCCAAGACACTTTTGTAATTGTCAATTGTATCTTTCTATCCACACGCTCTCTATCTTTTCTGAAATTTCACTGTACTCATTAATCAATTCACATCCCTTGCCATGAGTCTGTCATCACAATAATACCCTTCTAGATGTTTTAGCTTAGCTAAAGATTAGATTTAAATTTGAAGTTTCTTCCATCTGTCTGTGTTTTTGGCAATACTTTTCTCACCAATGTTGGCTTGGCCTTTTAGGTACGAGGTGGCACTTTACGAGCATCGGAAACTTTCCCAGGTGAAAGGCATCTAATTGAATTATGGTCACCAAACTCTCAAAACTTGAGAGAACAGCCACTGTCCACCAAGATAATCTCTTCGACAGTAAATACCAAAGTGATGGAATCTACTATGAGGACATCACCTTCCAGGACATCCTCTTCGATTCAAATTATCGGGGAGGAGGTCTTTTTGTGATTGATTCAGCTAGAATTCGCGTAAACAATTGCTTCTTTATCCACTTCACGACTGATGGAATTTTAGTCGAAAGAGGCCATGAGACATTCATATCAAGCTGCTTCCTAGGACAACACTCTACAGTTGGTGCGGATAAAGGTGAGAAAGATTTTTCTGGGACTGGGATCGATCTTGCTAGTAACGATAATGCAATAACCGACGTCGTAATCTTCTCAGCAGCTACCGGAGTTATACTAAGGGGTCAGGCTAACATAGTCACAGGGGTACATTCTTATAACAAGGCAACATATTTTGGTGGTATTGGAATTTTGGTGAAAGCAGCGCAGAATAGAATAGCTAATTGCTACTTAGATTTTAATGCTATAGTGATTGAAGATCCTGCTCAAGTTCATGTTACTAATGGGTATTTTCTGGGAGATGGCAACATTGTTTTGAAGTCGATTAAAGGTCAAATTTCTGGTTGAATATCGTCAATAATATGTTTTGTGGGAATCCAAAAAATATGGTACCTATTGTAGAATTAGATGGGCAATTCACAACCATTGATCAAGTGGTGATTGACCAAAACAATGTGAATGGCATGAGCTTGAGATCGACGGTCGGGGAATTGACGGTGGCCGGAAATGGCACGCAGTGGGTTGCTGATTTTTCATCAGTGTTGATGTTCCCCAACAGGATAAATCATGTTCGGTACTCATTTTACACACAAGGGGGGTTGGTTGGGTTTCCAGCAAGTGCTGTGACAAATGTGTCAAATAATGTTGTAATTGTTGAGAGTGAGAAAGCTGTCAATGGAGTGGTGTCAATTGTTGTTGACCAGCATAACATGGTAGGGGAGAGAAACTTCCTGATGTAGAAAAGAGGATTTTCTGTCATTCTGTGAATGCCATTAATTTTGGCTTCCAGATTATGGACAGAACTGTATTTTTCACTCTTTACAGCCAAGAGTGGATAGTTGGGGCTGGAATTCTAATGGGTGTTAATGTTTCTCCTTTTATTCTTTTGCTTTCTGCAATTTCTTGAAGTTACTATAATTTTTCGAAGACAATTCCAATTCATAGATAGGTATCACCACAGCACTGAAAAGTCATTTTTGATACAAGTATCAAAATGATTACAAAACATGGGTGACATTGTTACTCAATCTAGTAACATTACAATAGAATTTGATGGTTGGAGACAATATAATAGTGGATCAAAATCCTGTGAAGTTAATTAAACAAATCATCCGCATTAATTAATAGTCCTGGAAGTTGAGCAGATGCTAAAGAATACCAAAACAATTTT